TTGTACAAATAAACGACAACTTTTCAACGACTCATACCATTGATGAATTAATTTTTTTTTACTCAGCATTTATAATAATATTAATAATGATAATAACAATAATCACAACAGTGATAAGAATAATTTATTGTACCTGAAGAAAGTAATTGATAATCAATAAATTTATATGCATTCGATTATTAACCGAATATTTTTATTTGTCGACAGTAGAATATTAATTGAGCTTTCAGCTGCAGTCATGTTAATTTTTTTAATTAAATAATCATTATCAGATGGAATAAAATAAATTAATGTGATAATCAAATCGCTACGATATATATATATAGATAATTGAAAATTGTGATTTAATAGATTTTCATAACGAGCCAATTAATTAAATCTCGTTTCGTTTGATCAAATATTATTATCTATATTGTAATGAAAATAGACTGAAAATTCCTATCAGCATTATAATCTTGTGATGAATTTCATTTTCGTATGTATATCCTGTAATTTTATATTATCCAAGAAAAGTGTTATTTAATGATGTACACGGAGATAATTTTTTCACTAAATGTAAGTGCAAAAATGACAAGCCCACGTTTCAAAATTTATAAGTCAAAAAATTTCTGTTTAGCAATGAATTTTGGAGTTATCTTAAGTAATTCTTTTACTAAGACACCCGTTAAGTCTCAAGTATTCACTTACAAGAACTCAAAATTTACTATTGACTGGAAATATTTTTACTTATAAATTTCGAAATGTGAGCTTGCCATTTTTGCACTTACATTTAGTGAAAAAATTCTCTCCATGTAGTTAAAAATGAAGAAAAAATTTAAACCTACAATGCATGATTTTTTTCTTGGTCTGAAAAAATATATATATGCTTCTACTTAAGGTTTAAATTGTTTTTAATAATATTAGTCTTTAATAATAATAATAGTTCATAATCTGTAGTCTTAGTTTTTAATAATATTATTCTATATTATACTAATCTAGAACTGTTTTAATAATATTGGATGTACCTTATATGTCACTGGATTTATTATAGGGTTAAAATCATTTTAATATTTTTTTTTTATTGTTAGAAGACGAAAGTAGTTGTAAAATAATTAATTGACGTAGATGGTGTAATTATAAAATAAGTCAATGAGATGTAAAATGAAGTTTAAATATATTTTTACGTATTTTGAATAGCAACAGTTTAAATAGTATTCTATGAACGTTTTCGTAACTTCGTGCCACCACGTCAACAGTCAAGGTACGCCTTTGGAAGTAGGAACCGCGACACAATCTCTCCCTCCAATGCTTCAGCACTGTTATCATCGTTCCTTCCTCACATTAATGCTCCCAAGTCGTCTGGGAATCTCAAACCGCTTCCAAGTCGAAAGCACAGTGAATACAAATCACATTTTACCAATTTGATCAATGATGAGCTATAGAAATTTCGTGTTTATTTTAAATGTTTTAGTTTTTAAAGAATTAAATGTCATTAAGTGAAATTCTACACCTCTAACTTTTTAAAACACATAATAATGAAAAGAAAAATTATTCAAACCTTTCTTCTCTTTCTTTACAATCAGAATTATTAAACGGAGTATAATAATTTTTACCTGAGGTAAGATTTTTGTGATTTATATTTTTTTTTTGCTGATCAATAAAATATAAACGGAGTGAAAAATGGATATTTTCGCTTTGTATAATGAAAAAGTCAATTTTTTCGTGACTTGAATAGCTTTCCCAATGAATATTCATTTCAGAGCTACAAGTAATAAATTAAACTCCAATTCATAATTCTGTCGTTATGATAAAAAATAAATGGCCATCTCATTATTAATGATACCTTCATAATCATAAAAAGCTCTTGGTAAAAGCCATACCAAAGACCATTAATACTCAAGGATATACCTTCAAAATATTTTCTCTTTCGTCGCAAAATCTCGACAAAGTAAGACTCGAGTTAGTTACAATTAAAAATGAATTTCATAAACTCAAACAACTTCTTCAATATTTTGCATTATAGCTCATGATATTTTTTTACATTCATAATTAATAGAAAGCTCTCAATTATCAAGTAATTTATCAGATCAAAGCAACTGTATGTCAATGGAATGAGTTGATAGTTTGAATTAAATTGAAAAATATTTGAAGTAAGATCTAGACATTGAACATTTAAAAAATGTAATGTACATTAGAGTATACGGTATTCCGACATCATCAAAGTACTTACATCTGACAAAAACAAACAGACAACAAACTATTACTCGTAGAGCGACGTGAGAGACGATGCTCCACCCTAATGGCTCCACTCAAGATGCAATATCGCGGCATGAATATTGTATAGCCGTCGTAGCAGCGCGTTCGCGTCTTTCTCCAAGAAGCTCTTGAAGCATCCTATCTCTATCTTGGTATGTAAACTTGTCTGCTAGTCCCGTCTGGTCTATACAGAAAGAGCGATAGAGGATATATTCCGCGCGTGAACACTATCTGAAAGCTGAAGATAGAACCGAGTATATGGTTGAAGGAGTAACTTACATCCACTCGGTATGATTATTTTAAGGTGCACTCACAAAAATTGGCCGCAGTTTTACTTCTCTCTCGACGTGCATTGCGCGAGAAAAAACACCCCTCTCGACTCAACCGGCGTAAGGAAAACTCCACAGAGGTACTACTATGCCAGGATGTGCAACTCTACATGTTCTTTTTTGCCATTTCCGCTACCGTTTCGTAGAAAGAATGACTTTCCACCATGAAATACATCTCTTGGAAAAGTCGTAGAGATGAGAAAAAAAAAAACACATTGGACAGTGGAGATGAAGGTTGTATTGAGTTTAAGTGAAAATTCACTTTAGATTTATTATTTCATTGGTTCATTACACTATGTTAGACTTCATTTATGCCATAAATACAAGTAATCATAGGAAATTATTCGTTTGATTTATGAAGCGAAGGAGAATTTTTTTTAAAGATGTGTAGGTATAAAAGATGATCAGTCTTCTGCTACATTAGAATAAAAACTTGTGGATGAAGTGAATATTTTTATTTTTTTTTTTTGTCTGAATATTTAGAATCATGAAACAGGTAGTGCATGGAGAAAATGCAAAAAAAAGTACTGCTAATTTTTTTTTTTTTTTGAATATTCTAAAGTATCTCTTGGTAAGGAATATTTTTTTTCTATCAGCTACTTTCCATCGTAAGGTCGTAAAACGTACAACATCAGTGTTCCTTTTCCGACATCATGAAATATTTTTTTCGCATTACATATTTATGGGTGACGAACATCAAATATCATTTTTAACGTGATTCTCTATGGCACTAGTGTACTATTTATTCATCATTTATCTATCAAAGTATCAACACATCAAGTTAAAATTTAATTTATTTAAAAAAATAATCTTATTAAAATTCATTACTAATAAAATGATCACCATTTAATTATTATTCTCTTGGCTTGTAATTTAAAAATCTATTCTATAGAAATATTTATTTTAAGAAAATGAAAAAAAAAAAAATTAGTCACAGTTGTAAATATTTTTAATCTTAATGAATTTCTGTAGAGGAATATTTTAATGATAAATTATTGTCACAAAGTTATTTTAGCTGAAAATATTCCAACACGTTACTCTGTATGCTTAGTGTGTTAAAATATACTTATTAAGAGCGTGACTTTTCACCATGAAATGTATCCCCGGAGCATCTCGGTGCCTTTGGAAATGAGAAAAATGAAGCACAGTACAGCGGAAATGAAAGTTTATTGAATTCTCAATAAAAATTCACTTGAAATATATTATTTCATTTATTTATTACACGTCGCTTTGTCCCCAGTATTATATATCTAAGAGATAATAATAAAGTACTACACTTTGTAACTGTTGCAGTAATGCAATTTTCAAGTTGTGAACTGTCAACGACTTTTCGCCAGAAATTTACGCTCGTGTCTACTCCCGAGTCCTCAAGAATATTGCCTTGTTTTGTAGCACTTTGTTTTCTTGCTGTATCTCACGAGCTTTAAAACGAATCTACGTCGCAGCTGGCGATGTCTCACTCTAGAGAGTGCAGTACGATACAGGAAAAAATTACGTAGACATCGGATGTTCATGTGTCAACAAATGCTGCTTTTATCGCTATGAAATACATGGTTGAATACACTAGAGTCTACATCATTGAATCCGAGCTTATCAGATATCCCCAAGCGTCTGTTCTCGCCTCATTAACTATGGATCAGTAGAACATAATACGTTGGAAAAAATCCGATAGCTATAGAGAACGCAAGGGATGCAAGAATATAACACAGATGAGAGAGAACGAGAGATGCTCCACTGGGAAACGAGATTGTAAAATCGATAGTGAGCTTTATATACGTTTTCTCGTATGTGAGATATCAGACTGCATTTTATTCTTGTTCTTTTGGGTCAAATGTCGACAAAAAAGAAGTTTAAACTTTTATTTGTTATTTAAATTCATTTATCGATAATTGTTTTACTTCAAGAGAATAATCGGAAATTCATCAATTTTACATTCACTCTGGTTTTTTTTAGTTATTAGGTATAAAAATTACTGGTTAAAGTTTTTAACTATTTAAATTATCACTAAAAAATTGATTGGTATTTTTTACAAATTAATGTTTTTTTTTATTTATTTACAATATCAATAGAAAATTTAAATTGAAATAACATCAAATTAATTCATCAATAAATATTAAATTGTTTCATGATGTTAAATTTTATTAATAAAATAATAATTTGTTGAATAATTTTTAAGAATTTATTTTCCAATGATTATCAATTATTTAAATAATTGTCAACTATAACGACTAAAATGTATTTACATTCGACACCCATGACATAATAGAAATTAATTATTTACAGATAGAAATCATTATCTTCATTAAATGTTTGACTTTACTTCCTGGTAGTTTAAGCACTACCCATGAGAATAAAAGGGGTAGAATCTCTATTCCAAAATTACCGCGTTAATTGCTTTTACTGTGCTTCTCATCAATGCAAATAATTTCCTTACAGATATAACGACACCGCCTTGTACATATGTGAGGTACAATAGTCTAGCAGACGTGACATCGCAAGAGCTTGGCTTCAATCAGTTGGATTTCACGCCAGAGGTGGTATCAAAAATGAGGTGAGTATTATTCATTTAAATTCTCTATTTTAAAAGTCCACAACTAATTGAATAACTGTCGACATTTATTGAACACTCATTTCATTTATCAACGAGAAAATGAAACGTATCATTTAAATGTGAATTAATAGTAAGCGATGATCGGTTATTAATTGAAATTTGAAACATATAATTAATTAAACATTATTCAATGACGATTATAAATGATGACATATGGAATGAAATATCGTCAAATATCGTATTTGACGTAAATTTAATTTTTATTTATCTTCTTCTCTTTACACCATCACCTGTCTCGTTGGCAGACGCTAGAACCGTGGATTAACACGAATACTTCATAAGCTCGTAATCCCGCAACAAAACGCCAGTGAGAAAACAAAGAGTTTTCCAGTGTTTTTCCCCCTTTAGTTATCTCCATCCTTTTTCATTCGCGTGCGCAAGACGAACTCTCGGCTATTGCAACTCTGTTCACCCTCACAATACACCGGTCTTCTCTCACAACAATTCTCAAAGAACAGAGTGCTGAGAGCCTCGAGATACTCCAAGTGGGTATTAACAAAGTCGTTAGAAGACCTCTGTGTTCTTAAAAGAGTCTCCAACTGATACTGCCCAACCAACCACGCCTTTTACACAACTTTTTTTACATTAACTTGATACAAAAATATTGTTAGAATTTTTTTTTTATGATCTTATTATTGTGTACGATAGTTTAATGGAATTTCTAATAATTTGTTCGACCAAATGGAGCTACAAAGTATCTGAAGTCTATTATGGGAACGTTATTTGCAGTTGAAGGATATCAAAAGGTTTTAGAAGAATTTTTATTGCTAAAAGTATCTTTATTGGAAAAGGGGAAGATGATGAAAAAGATAATCTTGTTTACTAGCTATTTTTAACGTTATTATTGTTCAGTAAAATTTTTTTCTAAATATTCATTAAAATAATTTATTTCAAAAAATATTCGGTGGAAAAAAAATTCAAGATTTATTTTAAATAGAAATGATGCCTTTTGTGTAAAACATTCTTTTTTCTATCCTGTTTTTAATTAAAATTAAAAAAAGGGTATTGAATTGGATATAGTTAATACGAAATTAATTATTTTAAAATGGAAAAAAAAATCTACGTACTTTGAAAACTAATATATGAATTTTATTATTAAACATCAAATGTTTTTTATCAGATTCATATTAATTCACATTTTTGTGTCAATATTCAGTATGAATAATTTATTGAAATAATAATTTATCAATCACATTGAAAGTATATTTTTTTTTTCATAGAACATGATTCACTTTGAATCTCTATAGCTGAATTAATTACAGAATAATATATAATAAATTATTATTATGTATCTGAAAATTATTTGTTAAAAATCGAATTCTATATTTAACTGCAGAAAAGGAATAAAATAAAAAGCAAATATTTCTTTGATTCAGTTAACATTAAATGAATATCGTTATTTAAAATTATAAAACATATCTACTCACAGTGAATAATTTCAAAATTGAAAAATATTTATTTCAAGCTCAATAAAAATATTAAAATATATCACAAATAATCCTCTTTTCCTCAAGATTAAAAAAAATACCAATCATGTACAATCTCAGTAAAAAATTTATCATTTTTCACGCTCAATTTTTCTTTAACTTTCTTGTCCTATTAATTAATTTCCAACCTTATTACTTTATTATTTCATTAAAATCCACCCGATTGACAAGCTCCTTAAAAAATAGGAGGCCATTATCGCTTATTAATGGCCAAATTGACCTAATTTCATAAATCACCGGTAATTAAAATTACTTACAATCCTAATAACGGTCATAATTCTTTCCATATTAATCGATAGCTTATCTATACAGTGGTATAGATATATATATGTGTCTACAATGAGACCTACATACCTAACAAAAGAGTCAGCAGGGAAATTCGAATGTTAGAGAAACGCCAACGACTAAAATCGATTCAAGCAGTTGACTGGCTACAGAGTATATAACTATTCAGCGGTTTTCCGGTAATTGGAAGCTGGCTAATTGTGTTCGGATTTCGAGTGCGGTCGAGAGTGTGCTGGCAAAAGAGAGAGAGAGAGCAGGAAAATTCGCACGGACATTTACGGGACGCACGCGTTTCTCCGTTACTCCCATCTGCGCGCGATTTTATCAAATGGCGTAACAGTGACAACCCCGCGACGCGTCACCTGTTGCTCAACCCTCGTATTCACTGTGTCGCGACGCCTCGGGCTGCATATATATATATATATATATATATATAATAGTAAAAAGAGTGCATTATTAAAGAAAAAAAAAAAAGCCATATCGTCAAGATATGAAGCTGAAAGATCGCAGCACGAATAAAAGCTTGAGCATATTTGGATTCTGAGTTTGAAATAAACTGCTATGGAAGCTAAAGTTGGTGAGATTTTATTTGATTTTGATGATCATTCATGCATGCTAAGTTTATTAGATCCGACCAGAGTTTCCATTTCATCGATTGCATCAATGCAACATCTAAGTGCTTTTTGAATATTCTTTATTTCTTTTTTATCGTTGATTCGTTGAACCTCTGCACGTTTTCTCAGTCCCCCGTTTGCTCCCTTGACAATGCCCACACCCATTTTAACGTTGCTTTCCCTTCCGTTCCACGTCAGATGACAGCCAATTTTTCTCTTGGTGATTGCATTTGCAATTCCGATGTGAAACGCGTACAGTTATCCCAACATTTTCCAGCGCGACTCCAACTACCACCACCACCACTGTTGCTGTATATCCTCGCGAGTGTTGTCACTGTATATACATTCCAGGTATACTCTCTGTTGTGGTATATATACTCATTCATTCCTCTCACTCGTCCCAGTAGATACGAATCTATGCCGACTAACCGGATAACAGTAGCTGATTTAAATAATTCAATTTGTTGTTGTATACTAGATGCTCGACGTTTAAAACCTAGTATAGATTCTGAAGATTTTCAATCTGTGGATGTTTTTTATTCATTTTATTATTCGAGTTGGATGTTGCTACAAGTGCTTTGGTATGAGAGTTTATCTGTTGCAAGACATGGAAAATAAGTCCAAATGTTGGCGTTCCAATTCCTTGATTCAAATTATTCCTAAATAGTGAATCGTTCTATTTTTTCAGTGAATAAAATAAATTTTTATATTCACTAAATAGAGTGAGTTTAAATAAAAATGTTTTTAAATAATTTTGAATGAAATTGATTGGATAAATTTGTGCTTTCAAGAGAATTTACATTTGATTGGTGATTATTAATGAAAATAGAATAAAGAATGGAGTTTGCAATCTTTTTATTTTTCATTTCCCTAAGGTCATTTAATTAAAAGCATAGCTAACTAATGGCAGAGTTGATTAATTACCCAATTAACTAGTTAACGAGTTGATTAATGCTAAGAGATTCTTGCTTATCTCAACACACTGATGAGACCTCTATAAATGAAAGTGGAACATTATCAAAAAAAAAAATGAAACGATTGAATTAAAAAGATGAGGGAGAGTTGAAAAATTAAAGAAAAAAATGAAGTAGTTATTATTTATTATCATTAATAGATGATAAAATAGTTAGCATGCTATTCAAATCGAATTTCTATGTTACCAGAATTATTGTATCACTCAATTCTGCGAATAACCTAGATGTAACTAAGAGTAACTTGAAGTCAATTCACACAGAAATACAAGGACAAAGTTACTTTTGAAAACATAATTTCAGTTGGTGAAGAAGCAATTAATTTAGTCTTTCAAAGAAACGATAGAGACGCAGCTTTTGAAGGGAAGAAAGTGCCAGTGGAGGAAGTGAATGGTATATAGTAGGGAAAGCCAGCCATTTAAATTAAGTGGATTCTACTAAAATTAGATCAAGACGAGCGCGCATGAGGTTCACTGTTCGTTGCTTTCGTGGTACGCCTCCAATTCTCTCAACAAGTCTCTCCAGAGTCCAACATCTTCACCACGCTTTTCAATTTCCTATTCATATTCATTTCACTTGTATGCAAACAATTCTCACATCTGTTTTGTCTCGCTAGAATTTCATTATCTTCTAAAAATAATCATCATATTTCTTTTCTTATTTCTATTTTCATTCATAAAGTGTTTTTCACGGATGAGTGTCTCTATGAAAACATCAACAGTTCCTGTCCTATCCAGTTGTCAAGGGACAGACCAGAGAGTTGAGCAACACACACAGTCATTATGACTTGGGGTATAGTGGTAGAAACAGAATGAAAAGAGATAGAAGGAAGTAGAGATGAGAGAAGATAAGGGAGTGTAACTAGAGAGAAGGCTGTCAACGACAGGGTATGCTCTACTCCGTTTGTCTGTAGATCTGTCGAGGTATACCCGCATAAACTCGTCGCATACCATGTCGACCGTACGTGTCGTGCCTGTGGGGCTGCAGAGAACCCTCTAATAGAGGTAACAGCCTGACGACCAGGAGATACTGCAGCATTGCTTTACTATCATCTTCCTTTGAATCGATATCTATGTATGTTATTCCTTTCAAGAATATATATTACGTTAATTCTCTAATTGTCTTAATTAAGCTCTGAACATGTTTCACATTGGAATGTTATTCCGACTGATTTTATTTTAAAAATTCCTAGAAATTGATTGAATAAGTGGAATGAAGCATATTCTGTTGATAAATGTAACTCGAAACAGAATCATATCAAAGAGGGATCTGAAACGAGTATGTGCACTTTTGTTGTCTTCTGAGAGGAACTAAATGCTGTGATTAGACGTACAGGATGAGTTAGAACTTTGTTGAAGTAAACAAGATTCATTGGGTTGACAAGAAAATAGTGAAACACTTTTAAAATTTAAATATTAGAAAATGTAGAGTATTATGATGTTACCACAATGTCTCTGCTCTGGAGATGGATAAAAGTCAATGATGGACATGATGACTGCATTGGAGACTAAGGTTGGTAAGCCATTAAATAAAAAATTTAAATTAAAAACTATTGTCGTTGTTTCACTATTTTATTGCCAACC